CTGTTTTTGTCATTACGATGTGGTACACACCAAGAGAACTCATTAACCCTTATTTTGATCTGGCTTAAGGATAAGGTTTTTTTTTTTAAAAAAAATTATTTAAACTGTTAAGAAAAATGAAATAGCAAAAGAATAAAAGAATTATGTTGAGACGTGATCTCATTTTTTTTAAAGATTTAAAAATCTTTTAAGATACAACAAAACTCAAAACTCTCTCAGAAATTAGATGTAAAACTCTAATATTGTATAGGAATTTATAATGCCTGAAAAATCACTATTTGAAAAGATGTATTCCTCCAAAAAACATTATTTCATAGAGGTACATTTTGATTGTCAATAATCATGTTTGATTTTTAAACATCTCTTTCCAAATTATAATTTAATAAAATAAAATAAAAAATCCAAAAATAAAATAAAAAATCCAAAAATAATAAAAAATTAAAGATGTTCTCGCCATCAAGCCCCAAGGTGCTTCAAGTGCTCATCTTTTGATTATATATAAAGTGCCCAAGTGCCCAAGTGCTTATCTTTTGATTATATATAAAGTGTTCAAGTGCCCATTTTTTGATTATATATAAAGTGCTCGAGTGCTCAAGTGCCCATCTTTTGATTATATATAAAGGGTTAAGACTCAACTTTTCTTGAGTTTCACTTCACTTAATTATTTGTTGATAAAAAATAGACATTTATAAACTCTTTTAAATTCTTATACTTTATTGATGTGAGATCTCAGACATTTACAAACTATTCAACATAAACTATATATTATATACAAAGGAAGTATGTTTTTGTGATCAAAGAAAATTATTCACATAGAGTTTTACATTTCATAATAGAATCTTATAACTTTAATTATATACATGTATAACAGTAATTATAATTGATTTTTCCTTTGATATATAGCTAGGTGGAGTTTAATGTACATTTATTTGTTTTATACATTAGTATAAATTAATTTATACAATATGTCTGGAAAGTTAATGAAGCAACGAAACCATGAAAGAGAAGCTCGATTTTGGACTGTCATGCATATTTCAAAATGGATAGACGAATCTGATATTTACCCCGTTTTCAAAAAAACTGTTTGACTGTCTGCATAGACTATTCAGCATATTGAATTTTTGGTTCTGTTTTTATCATTAAGGTGTGTTACACACCAAGAGAACTCATTAACCCTTATTTTGGTCTGGCTTAAGGATAAGGTTTATTTTTTATTTTTTATTTTTTTATTTAAACTATATATTATATATAAAAGGAAGTATGTTTTGTGATCAAAGAAAATTATTCACATAGAGTTTTATATCTCATAATAGAGTCTTATAACTTTAATTATATACATGTATAACAGTAACTATGATTGGTTTTTCAGTTGATATATAACTAGGTGGAGTTTAATGTACATTTATTTGTTTTATAACTATATATTATAAGATCATCTTGTTGTTAGATAAGCTTGTGTTTGTATATTAAATATATTTATAATCTCATAGACTATGGCAGCTAGATAAAGAACAATCGGGTGTGAATGGAGATGTTGTGAGTGGAAGAGGTTCAGAGGGCCGAGAAGGAGCTCATATGGGAGAGATGTTTGTCTTCTATTCTATTTTTAAGTAATAGTGAGTTAATAAAAGCGACATCATTAATCTGATAGTAACTTTATTAAGTATGTTGGATTTCTCCAACAAATGTTAGTCATTGTTGAATGCAATTAGCACTTAAGTTATGATTGATTTGAGTGGTGTATTTTTTTTAAAAAAATTTTCTTCATTAAAAAAGAAAGGAGAGAAATGAAACCAATGAAATCTTGAGTGCTTGTGCACTTGGCAACTTGCCAAGGCACATAGCACTCCTTAGTTCTCTATAGGTCTTTAGTTGTAATAAGCATTAGAAGAGCCATGGCATATATATTATCTTTCAGGCTCATCCTCGTGTGTTTCACCAAGAAGATAAGGTGAGAGACAACAGTTCTCGTTGTTTTGGGATTTATCCTTACTTATAGAGGCAAGACTCTAGGCTAGTTTTTTTTTTCTTGGTAAATTTTAATCAATTAGTCAAGCTCATAAAGCAAGTATGATTATAGCCAAACAAATTTTTTAATATTATCTTTTAAAAAGTTAGTATTATTTTATTT